TAGTTGACATTCATCTTTGGAAAGTAAGAACTTACACTGAGAACAGTGTAACTTAACAGTTTGTCATCAGATCTAAGGATTTAAAGATTAATTCTAATGATTAAGTACAAACCATGAACTTGATGAATTAATTATTAGTTCTTGAGATCTGATGATAAACTGTTAAGTTTCCCATGTGCTGTTCAGACGACAACAAAACAAACCATATTTATAGCAAAAGACACACAAAATATCCTGATATAGCTGCTATAATGTGCTCTCTGTTAAGGTTCTTATGCTAACGAACTTCAAACACTTGGAGGATGAAGATTCTCCAGTTCCCGAGGACGTGCGGGAAACACTGGCAGAATTCCACAATGACCTCTTGCTTCACTGTGGTGAGCATTTTTGTGTAATTATGAATTTCTTCAGGTGTGAAAAGCTGTTTATGGGTGTTTAATGCTGTAGTCACATTTTTACCATAGGTATACATATTGAGGAGGAACCAGAGGAGGAGGAGGTGGACACTTCACTGAGGGGCAGACTTGTTAGTCTGGTAGACAAGGTTAAAAGCCTCCGTAAGAAGAAGGAGGAGGAGGAACAGCCAGAGGTGGAGGAAGAAGCAAAACCCAGTAAGATTAACACTTAGATTACCTGTGAAACAGTTGAAGGACCCGATCTGCATTTTCTTTTTAGCTCTAGGGTAAGAGTTAAATTGAGTTTACAACACGCTCTTCCGTCATTTCACCCAGGCACCCTTCAGGAGCTGATCTCCCACACCATGATCCACTGGGCTCAGGAGTCTTTTGTTCAGAACCCTGAGCTGGTGCGACTGATGTTCAGCCTTCTACACCGACTGTACGACGGTCTTGGCGAGCTGATCCGTGCACTGCCCAAAGCATATGCCATCAATGCCGTGTCCGTTCAGGACACCATGGACCTACTTGAGTGTTTGGGACAGATCCGATCACTGCTCATCGTCCAGATGGGTCCCGAAGAGGAGCGGCTTATGATCCAGAGCATTGGGTTAGTGTGGGGGATAAATAGTGTATACTTTGGAATTTGGAGTTAGTTTGTTACATTTTGAGTTATAATAATAGAACATGTGATGTTATTTTTTTTTTTTGATCAAGATCTTTTTATTGAACAAAGAATTGCTTCCAACAACAATTACAGCAATATTAACAAACAGTCGTGCCCCCCCCCCAATCCAGAACAGTGTAACTAAAACCCAGCCAGAGAGGAAAGAAGAGATAAAATTAAAGAAAATTACAGATACAAAGTAAATAATAAAATAAATGAACAACAGCAAGGGAAAAAAACAAACAAACAAAAAACAACAACAACAACAAAAAAAACCCATTCACACGCACATTAAGCGATAGTATCGGGACTTAATCTTTCAAAGTAAGTAAGAAAAGGTTGCCATGTGTCATAAAACCTCCGAACCGAACCTTTTACAGTGTAGCGGATCTTTTCCAGCTGAGTATAGTACATGACATCCTTAACCCATTGCCCATATACAGGTGGAAGTGGCTCTTTCCATTTCAATAATATCATTCTACGGGCCAAAAGAGTGCAAAAGGCCAGAAGATCAGAATGTGATTTGGAAAGACTGGCATCACAAGCCGTCACCCCAAAAATAGCTATAATGTGATGTTATTTTATTAAGTAATGTAACACTGATGTATGGCTTCTGTTTTTTTTCTTTTCAGAAATATCATGAATAACAAGGTGTTCTACCAACACCCCAATCTGATGAGAGCTCTGGGTATGCATGAGACTGTGATGGAAGTGATGGTCAACGTGTTAGGTGGAGGAGGAGATTCGAAGGTAACTGTGATTTCTTCAAGTCTTTCACTTTCCAGGCCTGCGATTTATAACACAGCACACATCAGACATTATGCATCTGAGAAAAAAATGTTTGTTTTTTTCTTGCCCAGGAGATTCGATTCCCCCAAATGGTGACCAGCTGCTGTCGCTTCCTGTGTTACTTCTGCCGTATCAGCCGACAGAACCAGCGTTCTATGTTTGACCATCTGAGCTACCTGTTGCAGAACAGCGGCATCGGCTTGGGTGAGTCCCCTGTTACACTGTTTACTGTACTCTGTGCATGGCTTATTATGGACAGATTTTATTTTTAAATCTTTTTTATTTTGAATAATCATGAAACAATTACAATAAAATTTAACTCACTGAAGCATGCAGGTAAGAAGTTTCTAAATGAATTTTAATGTGCTGGGATCTTTATACCAGGTGATGAATGAATAAACTCACTGATTATATCCCTATGTAGGCATGCGTGGATCCACACCCCTGGATGTGGCTGCAGCCTCCTGTATTGACAATAACGAGCTGGCCTTGGCTTTACAAGAGCAGGAACTGGAAATGGTTAGAGAGAAAAAATGTTTTTAAAAAAGGCTATAGTGGAACTGTTATCTGATAATCTCTCCTTTTGGTACTCACACGAGGTAGGTGGTGACATACTTGGCAGGCTGTGGACTGCAGATGTGTCCAATGCTCTTGTCTAAGGGCTACCCTGACATCGGCTGGAATCCTTGTGGCGGAGAGAGATACCTGGATTTCCTCCGCTTTGCTGTCTTCGTTAATGGTTGGCTTTGTTTATTATATAACGATGAGATTTGTAAGTAGTCGCCGCTAATATTTACCTCCTCCTACAACCTACTCCCCTTAGGAGAAAGCGTGGAAGAGAATGCCACCGTTGTGGTGCGTCTGCTCATCCGTCGCCCTGAGTGCTTTGGCCCAGCCCTGAGAGGAGAGGGTGGTAATGGCCTGCTGGCTGCAATGGAGGAGGCCATCAAGATATCAGAGGATCCGGCAAGAGATGGGCCCACTGTTAAGAAAGACAGGCGCTTCATGTACGGGCTGGCGCAGTGGCAGTGAATTAGATTTTTGTTGATAAAGTAACACCAAATAACAGCTTAGACAAATCACTGTGTAGTTTCACAGCAGCACAACAAATTTTCTTATAGAAAATAACATTATCTGGATTGGCAGGTTTGGTGGTGAGGAACAGCACGAGGAGAACCGTGTGCATCTGGGAAATGCCATCATGTCCTTTTACTCGGCTCTCATTGATCTGCTGGGTCGCTGTGCCCCAGAGATGCATGTAAGTAGAGCAGCTTTTAACATATTTCTATCCCTCAAACCTCCAGGAAGAGTGGCTCTGTGGGTGTTTGATTTGTACGAGTTAGTTTCATATAGCACAACTTACATTTTTTTATTTGTAGCTGATCCAAGCGGGTAAGGGTGAAGCTCTAAGAATCAGGGCCATCCTGAGGTCTCTGGTGCCTATAGAGGACCTGGTTGGAGTAATCAGCTTACCTGTGCAGATTCCAGCATATGGCAAAGGTTGGATAAAAAGTTGTGCTGATATACGGATGTTTTGTAACAATTTACAAAATGTGGCGCCCTACTTCAAAGAGGATTTTTTTCCTATCTAACCACAGATGGCCAGATTATTGAGCCCAAGATGTCTGCCAGTTTTGTGCCAGACCACAAGGCCTCCATGGTGCTCTTCCTCGACAGAGTGTACGGTATTGATAACCAGGACTTCCTGCTTCATGTGCTTGAGGTTGGCTTCTTGCCTGACATGAGAGCTGCAGCTTCTCTGGATACGGTGAGAAAAAAAGGCACAGACCTAACAGATAAAATTTCCTTCTGTAAATTCCAGATTTCAGTACAAAGTCTGCATATTGATGTAATTTGCTATAGATTCCCTTTGATATAGTTAATGTATCGGTCTGTCCTTAAGGTAATGCAGTGAGTATAAGCAGTTTTTTGTCTTCTCTGATTTTAGGTGGCATTCAGCACAACTGAAATGGCCTTGGCTCTGAACCGCTACCTCTGTTCGGCTGTTCTCCCTCTTCTTACAAAGTGTGCTCCATTGTTTGCTGGAACAGACCACCGGGCCATCATGATCGACTCCATGCTCCACACAATTTATCGCCTGTCTCGTGGCCGAGCCCTTACCAAGGCTCAGAGGGATGTTATAGAGGAGTGTCTCATGTCCCTCTGCAAGTCAGTATTTAAAAAAACCCTCTCTGTATAGCAAATGCTAAATAAGCAAGCTGAATAACTCCGAAAAGGAAGCCTTTATTTTCTATTTGTTTAACCTTTATTCACCCTGGGGAGGTTTTCGGGACATTATCTCTTTTACAAGAAAGATCTAATGATAACAGCAAATTCACAACAAATTACAAACTTTGAAGTGAATGATGAAACGTGCCTTTTCAAACAGTTTTAAACTTACGGTGATATCCGCAGATACCTTCGACCCTCTATGCTGCAGCATTTGCTTAGACGGCTGGTGTTTGACGTACCCATCCTCAATGAATATGCAAAGATGCCTCTCAAGGTGAGTCTTCTGTGTAACAGTGTTCTGTTTGTTTGTTTATATAATCTAATTTTTATATCACATATTAATTGAATTGCTTCAGCTGCTGACCAATCACTATGAGCGCTGTTGGAAGTACTACTGCTTGCCAAATGGATGGGCGAACTTTGGGGTGACTTCTGAGGAGGAGCTGCATCTTTCTCGAAAACTCTTTTGGGGAATCTTCGAATCGTTGGCACACAAGGTGGGAGATGTTGTTAACCTTCCATAAGTGCACATCGTTTAAGTTAAGGAATTACTAACTTGGCTTCTCTAATATGAATTTAAATTCTAGAAATTCGATGCAGAGCTCTTCAAGATTGCCATGCCCTGCCTCTGTGCTATAGCTGGAGCCATCCCCCCTGACTATGTGGATGCCAGCTACTCCTCTCACACTGAGAAAAAGGCCTCTGTGGATGCTGAAGGCAACTTTGATCCAAAACCAGTAGAGACCACCAAGTGAGAACTGAAAGAAAGACTGTTTGATGTTATTTTAGTGCATTTTTGCTTTTGGAAGAGAGTCAACATGTACCTTGTCAGTGACGGATAGTTACAATTACATATTTGAACAGATTTTTTAAAGATTGTTTCCAGTTTCAGTTTTATTTGTCATATGCAAGCTAGCACAGGGTCTATGGAACGCCAGGACTGCCATAATGAATTAATTAATTAATACACCATTAAATAATTAATTAAATGTGTCAATAATTAAAAATAATTCATTAAAATGGGAAATAATTGATTAAATAAATATTTTTGACGCATTTAATTAATTATTTGTTTATTTCCAATTTTAATCAATTATTGCCACAATTAATTAATTTTTTAATGGTGTATTTAATTAATTCATTATGTCAGTCCTGTCCTGTCATTATGTCAGTCCTATATATATAT